AGATAGATAGATAGATAGATAGATAGATAGATAGATAGATAGATAGAATTATAGATATATATATTAAGGCGTTTTAAACTCTTCCCACACTCTTGAAATATTCTAAACAATGCTTCAAAACTCTAAACGCTCTAAAAGAGCACAGCATGTCATGAACTCAGCTCCCTGCCTCCGCTGCTCTTTGCCACCTGCAAGCATTCTTGGCCATGCCCACTTCTCAGCTCTGCACAGAGAACAGCCGATCAGCTGCAGCAGGAAGCTTATCCTGCAGTTTGGGCTGCACAAATGTGCAGCAGGTGCTAAATAATTTCAAAATAATTCATTTTAAATAAAGAATCCATGCCGATCATGTGGCTCATCCATTAATCAGCCAATTGTGTGTCATGTCCAATCTTATTTTGAAAAACCGCGATAGAGCGAGTCCACGATAAACGAACTGCGAAGTAGCAAATGACTACTGTATGTTGTTAAAATACCCTTGTAAATGGTTGGGAAGTAAATAAAACAAATAAACAAAAGTAACAAACCTTGTCCCTCCAATATCTTTAACATCTGCTCGATCTGTGCCGCTTCCCTGGACATGATTCCTTGAACGAGATCCTGCACTTCCCTGAAGGAGCTCTGAGATTCTGCTGTTGACAGCCCGCAGAGGTAGTTTGGCTGTGAGGCTTCCCCCTCGACTGCGGCTCAGAGACTGGGTGGATCCAGGGGCAGGTCCCTGCTGCTGCATCAGACCCTGGACTGAGTTCTGGGGTTGAGGTACAAAGAAAATGGTGTAGATTTGTTTAGTTATTGATTTTAAAAAGGGAAATTCTCAATAATTGCTAAATGAAAGACATCAATTTTTTTTGAACTCATTGACATGGATTTGATTTAAAGGGTGTGCTCCCATACAGTTAATATATTGAGCTTCTTACCTTTCCATTTGGTGGAAGGCTGGAGCTGCGGTTGGTAGTCTGGTTTAAAGACTTGGTAGAGAAGCTTAGGGTCTTGGTGCTGGAAGCAGAAAGACTCCTGGTTTTAGGACTGCTGGTCATTAACAGCTTACTGACAGCTGAGATCTTTGACTGGCTGCTGGTCTTGGCTGGTGACTGTGGTGCACTGCTCGGACTGGGACTTCCGCCAAAATTAGGGTTGCTGGAGTTTCCAGTAGGAGATGGTACTGATCCAGCACGAGTGAGGCTACGTCCAGTCCGAGGTATGGTGGTGTCCCCCCTCACCCCTCCTCCCCATCTAAGGCTCTCACCTCTCTCCAGGGAGAAGCAGTCATAATGATGAGAACCGCTGTGTGAGCTGTGGGCCCGGCCCAGAGAATTAGTTCTATTGGCTAGTTGTTCCAGCTTGGCACTGAAAAGTCTGCTGCTGTCGATGCTGGAGCCATGCTGTCTGGTGATTCCTGCAGGAGCACATCCAAAAGTTCCTGCATTATCTGCTGTGTTGCCCACTGATGAGACTCCATGGCTGAGTTGGTGGAGAGGGCTGGCTGCCCTGTTTCGCTGGTCAAGGCTAGACTTACGCACTGGTGGAAGAGGTGGAATGCCGCCTTTCTTGTGGGAGAAAAAGCCTTGTTTTCCGCTTGATCCCAGGCGATCAAGGGTGGCCCGTGGACTGCAAGGAGTTGAAGTTGTGATGCCAAGATTACGGTACTCCATTACATTGTCTAAACCATCTTGGTAGTTAAGGCGGTGCCACCCACGGGGAAGGCTACCTGTGCAGTGGATATCTAAGTTGTAGATACCAGCCAAACATTCACCTTGGTTAACAACAGCAACCATTTCACAACCATCCACTACTCTTTTAAAAGAGTCTGGAGACGACACCACCTCCCCTCCTGAACCAGAGCTGCTATGACCACCTGTTGATGGAAGATTAACAGAAAACAAGCAACAAGTGAATAAATACTGCCGTACTTGGAATTTATTTACTTTAAATCAGTGTCTTGTGTTTCTTACCATCTGTGCAGGAACATTGCTGGTCATCATTCCCAGCTACAACTTTCTCTCCTGAGTTGCTCTTTAAAGTCTGTATCTCCCTTATTTCTGGTTTAACTTCACATATAAGGTCCCTGGACCTTCCCTCTTCCATTTCACGCTTTAACCAGGGGTCTTCAAAGCTCATCTCACTGGAAATGGAGGCTAAATCGACTGAATTGGATATTATAGGGTCTTTCATAAATTGTGTTTTTGTGGGTGAGGAGAGGATGGTGGGCTCTTGTATCATCATGGGTTTGACAGCCACACATGGGTGAACACTTTTGGTACTCTTGAAAGGAGAGAGGTTTCCAGGCCCTGCCAGGATTTGGATATTTGTTTTAGCCATAGAGGGAGGCAGTTTTCTTAACTTGTCTTTATTTGGCATACTTTTATCAGACAGTGCCAGCTCTCCATCCAGACTCCCTCTCCTTGAATTTGTCCCACTCTCACAACCACCAACACCCTCAACTCCAAGGCTCATCTCAGGATCAGCCAGAGCCTCTCCTTGCTGACTCTGAGACTGGCTGAAGCTGTGAAGAGACTGATCAGCTTCACTAAGATCACTCATCCAGGAGGAAACAGTTGAACCAGAGTTGGACATCCCCGTAGCTAAGGGTTCACCAATTCGCAGCTTGGCCATTGCCACCTGCCACAGAAAGCAGTACAGTCAGGCATCTAGCAATTTAACAGACCCTAACATGTGATTTTGTCATCTTGTCTGTAAAATACTAAATGTGTCAGTCTTAAGTAGCTAATCTACCTTGAAAAGTTGCTTGTAAACAAAAGACAGATAGTGACACTAACCTCTGCCATGGCAACCACCTCTTTAACCCCTGAGGCTGTAGCAAGACATGGAGGCATGTGATAATTGTCCACAACTCTTTCTGAAGCAGTAGTATCGGCAATGCTGATGAGTTGAGAGTCTGAAGCGAGTGCAGCTTCAGAGCCACAGTCGCTGTTAAAGCTAATGATGCTCACTGGACGACAGGCCAAGCTGTGTGCTTCGATAAGAACCGTAACCAGGTCTTCACCTCCAGAGGCCACAGTGTACACCAGTTCATCTTGCCCAAGCAAGCAAGGTCCTCCTGCTCCTACAGATACTGCTGGTATTACAGGTGTAAGAGTGAGAAAGAGTTACCATTATACTTAAACAGTAAAGTATATGGCAGATAGGGTTTGAGTGTTATGACATATTCTGACTCACCTTCCTTGTGCGTGTCTAAAGGTATAGGTGGGACGTCGTCATCACAGAGTGTCTCAGCTGAGCCCAGACTGGCAGAAAGAGAAGGAGTTGCCTCCTGGACTTGTGGACTCATGCCTGCAGGAGAGGTCCTGGACAGCAGGGACTCGGTGGAGGAGCGGCCGCTGTCTGCAGCCAAACTGTCTGCACAGTCAAAGACACCTTTTTGGCATTTTACTGCATTTTGCTTTCCAAGTTTAAAACACATGCAACTGTTGGTACACTGGGGGTTTAAGAAATTGGCTTTATGGTACACGCCTAGTTTTAAACTACTATATGTTTAATAAAATTTGCTCTATATAATTCTGCCACACATCTTTCCAGGAAAGCTCCCGTGTGTGTTAGGCAAACGTTTACCAGACTATTTTTTAATTTCTCATTTAGATGTCAGACATGTCACACTTACATGAATGATTAGGTCTGGAATATTATTAAACATGTTGCAGTTTGGCAAAAATACACACGTATGTAGTAAAAAGAAAAAAGTTTAGGCATCATAAATTACATTCATGAAGAATATATTAGAATTTTTTTTTCACTGATGTAAAGAATAAAAAGCAAAAAAAAAGATGCTAACTGTCTGAGGTCAAAGCATCTGTAGCCTGGCTGTCCTGAGCCAGAGTGTGTGAGGACTGAGGGGGGGTTGCTGGCATCACACCCTTCTGAGTGTACACCTTACTCCGCTGGGACGGGGATGATGGAGGCCTGAGAAGGAAAACAAGCATGGGCCATAATTAAAATATGTCACTTTTAATTTTCTCCTGCTGAAACATATATTGTAAAGACATTTAAATCATTGCCTACTGTATTGTATGTATTTCACCTGTACTCTGAGGTTTTGGTCAGACTAGCAATGCCGAGTCGAGGTGATCCCAGAGGGCGCCCCTTCCCCTCAATATTACCAACTGTGTTCAGAGTCTCACGGCTGCACAAGGAGTCAATTAATGAAAATTATTATTCCAAGGCTGATTGTCTGAATACCATTGCGCTGAGGCTAAACAGAGAACAACACCTGTCCTCACCTGTCATGGAAGCTCTTGGCTCTGTGCAGGGGGTTAGAGGCGATACTGCTGCTTCCTGTCGCCCTCCTGGAACTGGTAACTATGGGGCATCCAGCAACCTGAGCCAGGCTGTGGATCATTGTCTGGGCCAGCTCTGCCTCCTCCACCACCTCCTTGATCTCCTGCAGCTGCTGGTCATTGCTTCGCTTGGATGCTGCTGCTGAGAAAAAGAAAAATGGTTTCACTTTCTGAAGAAACTGCAGAGGCTGGACATGCATCAGTAAAAGTAAATTTACAGCATTTCTCCAAAATAAAAAGAAAGGTGACACATTTGCTGTAAGGTACTTGGAAGTAACAATAATACTAAGCATAAAAAATACATTTGTTAAAATTTAAAATGACCTATTTTGGTTTCTGTGTCCAGCACAGCTGCAGAGCCAGGAGCAGAGCACAAAGCAGATGATGGAGGACATGATTCTTCTTTGGCACTTTGTTTGCCTGCTGGAACCTCTTCAAAAGGAAACTTGGAAACCTGCAGAAAGGGACAGAGGAATTGAAAAGATCAACCGATTTCAACATGGCAGTGATAGGATGAGTTGGATTTAATTATCTAAAGGAATGCTGTGTTGCTTTAATTTCAAAATAAGAGTGTTTTGTTATTCAGAAGAACTTCAGTTGTGTTGGATGAATATGAACAACTTGTTTGAGGTGCTATCTACAAACACAAAAATAACTGATCCCATTTTTAGAGGGAAAGAAAATTATCGCCGCAAACAAAAGTCAGACCACAAGACAAAAGTAAACAGAAAATGTTAAACAGCTGCCAAATAAATTCAACAATGTCCATCTTGTCCAAAGAAAAACGTCAAATCAACAACCAGCTCGAGATGCCCTATTTTTGTTGTTTTTCTTTTGTTTTAAAGTAGCAAAGAACATTAATATAAAGCGCCTGTCACCTCCTCACTGCCATCAATGCAGTCCAGTCTCTCCTGCAGCTCAGCAAAAGTGTTGCACTTCAGGCATTCAGCTCCTTCCTCTGGGACCGGGGCCAACGGCTGACCGAGCAGTGACTGAGGGGGCTGCGACAGCGGCTGGGTGGCACCATCAGACTGTTCGTCTGCCTGAGGCTAAACAGGTTGGAGGACAAATCACCCATATATGAGTAACCTGATGCGTATTCAAAATAAACATGGTGTTAATTGTGAAAACTAAAGCACACATATATTTAATTTAAATGACCTTGCTCTGCACTCTTGTTCCTAGACTCTGTGTTTGATGCTGCTCTGACGTTTTCCCTCTCAGCAAAGCTGGAATAATTGGAACAAATTCTGGAGGGCCCTCGTTGTCCGTCAGCTCTCTGTCTGACACCGCTGCTCCGTTTGGACCCACGTAGATCACTGTGTCACATGAGTGCTCGCTGCTGGAGTATTCATCAGGGTCGCTGGACAGTCTAAGCAGCGGTAGTTCAGAGTCAGTGTCGCCACGGTGATGGAAGGGCCGCAAGTGGGTCGGACGACGCATCCGACCCTCCTCGCAGGAGCTTTCTCCCCCAGAGGAGCTGGATGTATATTGCTGAAAGAGGGAAGTGATGATGGGAACAGTGGAGACAAAGTTGTTGAAAGAGATTTTTTTTAATTATTATTAAATCAGGGCAGCACGGTGGCGCAACTGGTAGAGCTGCTGCCTCTCAGCGAGCAGGTCCCTGGTTCAAACCCCGGTCCAGGGGCCTTTCTGGGTGGAGTTTGCATGTTCTCTCCGTGCATGCGTGGGTTTTCTCCGGGTACTCCGGTTTCCTCCCACAGTCCAAAAACGTGCATGTTAGGCTGATTGGTAACTCTAAATTGTCCCTAGGTGTGAGTGAGAGAGTGAATGGTTGTTTGTCTCGTTTGTCTCTATGTGGCCCTGTGATGGACTTGCGACCCGTCCAGGGTGTACCCCGCCCCTCGCACAGTGATTGCTGGACATGGGCACCGGCGACCCCCGTGACCCGAAATGGAATAAGCGGGTAAAGAAAATGGATGGATGGATGGATGGATTATTAAATCAACAACACCTATACAAATTCTGCCACAATGTCCACGCCGCTAACAGAACAGAACCATAATGTTGAAAGAACCTCACCGCTAACCAAATCACACTGTACATGTTTTTCTTTTTCACCTTTAACACCTTGTTTTTTTAGTATTTTAGTAGTATTTTTTAGTATGTTTTTGAGTATGTTGGTAGTATTTTTTTAATGTTTTTCTTAGTATGTTAGTAGTATATTTTTAGTATGTTTTTAGTATTTTTGCTGCATGATTTGACATTTGTTGTTGTTGTATTTATTTATTTATTCATTTTTGCGAGTCGAGACGGTTCTTCTCGTCCTAAGCATTTCATTGCATTACTGACCTTGTGTTGATTTTGCACATGACAAATAAATCTAACCAATCTAACCTAACAAACAATTTTCAGGCAATATAGGTTCAAGATAACAGTTTAAATTGTATTTTACTCAGTTTAATGTTTGTTACACATGATTTTTTTTTTACTTCTTCCGCCCTCGTGTTCTCTTTTCCTCATCTACTCTGTATGTTGGAACAGGTCTCTCTTGTAAATGAGTCCCTGAGGCTCAGTGGGAACTAACCTGTATAAATAGAGGTTGAATGAAAATTATATACTAATACTTAGAAGGATTTTATGAATTGTATTTATTAACCTTTATTTAACCAGGCAAATCCCACTGAGATCACATATCTCTTTTGCAAGGGAAGTCTGCGCCTGAAGGCAGCCTAACATGCATGTTTTTGGACTGAGGGAGGAAACCAGAGTACCCGAAGAAAACCCACACAAACACGAGAAGAACATACAAATTCTACACATAAAGACCCCAGGTCCAACCAGGGATTGAACCCAGGACCTTCTTGCTGTGAGGCAACAGTGCTAACCACTGATCCATCGTGCTGCCAATTTGACTCCTTCATGAAAACCATCTTCAGTGCTTTGAGGCCTTTGGTTTATGCTTTAGTGCGTTGGTTAACAATTCAGAGAAAGTAAGCCAAGATAAGAGTTTAAATGATACAATTCATCTACTTCTGAAAACAACGCCACGCAAATATTACGGTCCACAAACGGGATGATTTTAAACGCCATACAAGATTTTCCTAAGCTAAAACATAATGCAGTTAATAGAAAAGTAACGAGTATGGTAGGGTTTGCTTCAGCGTTAAGCTCGACGAGCTCGAGTAAAACAAGTGTTGTTTCCAAATGCTAACGAAGCATCAAACTCACCACAGTGACTTTTGCTTTCTTCTTTTTCATGCGGAGGACGCGTGAAGCAATCTGGATGGTGGAAAGGGTTTCTGAGAAATCTCTGGGTGAGGCAGAGATGTGAGCAATCATGGTGGTCCGGCAGTTCATGTTGCCTAGCGACTCCCTTAGCAACATGGTCAGCTTGCTGTCTCTGGTTACACACACAGAACGTCGAGACGTGAGCGCCGAGAGCAGGTTTGAAATGGAGAAAAGTCGCTTTGGATGACATTTTGTTAGAAACAAATTCTGATCAGATTACACCTCTGAACATTTTTCTCACACTTTTCTCCAATATCCTTGGAGATTTTAATACAAATATGGAAGAATAAACACAAACACTGTTCAAAGTCTTTAAAGAAGCAATATGGATTTTATGAAGTCTAATGTTGTACAAAAGTAGTAGTCCCAGATTTATTTCAGCCAATAAGGGAGTAAAATTAGACTGTGTGTTTTTAAGTACAGTCTTTCTCCTGGGTGGGCCACTATATTTATTGTAAGCATTTTGTGTATATATGTGTATGAATGTGCAAAGAACCTGCAGGCTGAGAGAGAAGAGCTCCTCTGTGGCCCGTTAACTCATGCTGCTGTCCCTTTTTTAAAAAAAAACACAGCCTGCAGTCAAGTCACCCACACGTTTACTATCTTATGCACACACTTCCATATTGACCTCCTCTGTTTCATCAGTCCTCTTTTTCTTTATTCTTCTGCCTCGAGCTATAACAAACCCTCCTTTTTCTCCCTAAATCTACCTCTATCGCTGCATCTCTCCCTGAGATTAAACTTGTGACTCATAAAGAATTCATTTGAATGGTAATTTCAGAGCCAAGCATGCTGGATTAGATGTTAACCTGCCTGAGCTAGATTTATAGCCAGTGTGTTACCAAAGAGGAAAACTTTATATATAACAACACAGTCTCTGTTATTAATCAGTCAACAATCTACAGGTGCATCTAAAAAAATTAGAATATTGTGAAAAAGTTCAATTTTTTAATAATCATTTCAGCAAGTGAAACTCAAATAAATTCATTACACATAGAGATAAATAGCTGAAGTCTTTATTGCTTGTAATTTTGATGATTATGGCTTACAAATAATGAAAAACCAAAACTCATCAAAATGCATATTTTTAGATGCGCCTGGATGTTGCATTTAAAAGCTAAGTTCATAAGAAAGTTTTCTGCTTAAGAAACCTGACTGACATGATATGTTTGTGAAATCACATTCAAAACAACAATTTAAAAATTGCACACTGCAGTCATATAAAGAAGTCATACACTGCCTGGCCAAAAAAAAAGTTGCCACCTGGATTTAACTAAACAAACAGGTACGAGCCTCCTATTGGATAATTACTGCACGGGCGATTATCTTTCAGCAACACGTTATTTAACCCCAACTGGTGCAATGAGTTGCTTTTCATTTCTTAAACAACTGTGTCGAAAGACACATTGTGTGGTCGTGGAAAAGATGTCAGTCTGTTTGAGAAGGGTCAAATCATTGTCATGCATCAAGCAGAGAAAACATCTAAGGAGATTGCAGAAACTACTAAAACCGGGTTAAAAACTGTCCAACGCATTATTAAAAACTGGAAGGATAGTGGGGACCCATTGTCTTTGAGGAAGAAATGTGGCTGGAAAAAAATCCTGAATGATTGTGATCGGCGATCACTTAAACGTTTGGTGAAATCAAATCAAAGAAAAACAACAGTAGCACTCAGGGCTATGTTTAAGAGCATTTCCACACGCACAGTACGAAGGGAGCTCAAGGGATTGGGACTGAACAGCTGTGTAGCCTTAAGAAAACCACTAATCAGTGAGGATAACTGGAAAAAAAGGCTTCAATTTGCTAGGGAGCATAAAGATTGGACTCTGGAGCAATGGAAGGAGGTCATGAGGTCTGATGAGTCCAGATTTACCCTGTTCCAGAGTGATGGGTGCATCAGGGTAAGAAGAGAGGCAGGTGAAGTGATGCACCCATCATCAATCAACCTTTATTTATACAGGTAAATCCCATTGAGCCTCGAGGACTCATTTACAAGAGAGACCTGATTTCAACAATGCCTAGTGCCATGCCTAGTGCCTAGTCATCAGTGCAAGATCTTGTGAAAAATTAATGCAACACTGGATGGAAATAGATCTTGTGACACTGCAGAAGCTTATCCAAACAATGCAACAGTGAATGCATCCTGTAATCAAAGCTAAAGGTGGTTCAACTAAATATTAGTGTATGACCTTTTTTTTTTGGTGGCTTTTTTTTTTTTTTTTTGGCCAGGCAGTGTATAAAGACAAACACACAGTCAGCAATGTTCATGTTCAAATTATGTGATTATTTTAAAAAGCAGAACTTTTCTTTAACAAATTCAACCTCGGAGTTAGTTTTTAACACACAGCAGAATGCATCGCAGCCTTTAAGTTCTGTATGTATGCTAAATTCAGACCATTGCAAGCCTCCACCCCCACTTATTTAATGTTACAGAACATGTTTTCTGCTGCCTTTATTCTTAGCTAACAAGGAATATTTATTGTTATAGATGTCTCCTGTTGTAGCCCATCTACTACAGTTTGGGTGTTGAACATTTAGAAATATTATCTTCATCTATTGGTTGTGGCAAGCATAATTAGAGTTCCTCTTCCCATCTGATGAGCTTTGAACAGCACTGCTGTCCACCTTTTATTTATTTTCCAGATAGAAAATTATGGCTCACTGTGTGCATTTTTAAGCCAGTTCTCTGTCAACCCTGGGGACATCCAAGTGTAAAAATCAGTACTCAAAGCCGGGGACTAATCAGTTGTGACATCTCTCCATTTTGATGCATAATTCAAGCCTCAGTTAGTCCTACATGAGTCTCTACACGTGTTTGACTGATTACTTGGTTTAATTGGCTGATAAGATAATACATCAGTTGACATTTATAAGAAATAATTCTTTACTTGAATATAAACACATATTCTGACATTTACAGAGTGAATGTGGACTAGATTTCCATGGTGCAAATGATTCTGAAAACATGTTTGATTTTTTTACACACTTGCATCATAATCAAAACGGTGAATCGTTAATTATAATTTGTTTTTTTATCCAGTGGGGGTTAACATTAAAATAATTACTGAACATTTATTTTATCCAGTAAATGCACATTAACTAGACTTTCTGATCAAATGTCCACAAAATAAAACTAAATTAACACGTCAGAACTGAAAACAAAGATGGCGAATTATACACTTACAGTCGACATTAATTGTTTATCCTCAAGGTTTAGCTCTTAATTTTGTAGTTATGGACTAAAAACCCAGCAACAGCTGTTAAACTAATCGTTTCATGCACGTTTTATTTTATTCTCCATCAACAACACCAGTGTCAGAAAGAGCTTTGCTTAGGTCTGCAGTGCTAATATACTGTAGAACTGTTTTGTAATGTACATGCAAAACTTTGAGATTAAATTAATCCAGGAAAACATCACCTCAATAAAATAATAAGAGACATAAGTAAAGATAAAAAGTGGACTTTACAGTTTCATATACAGTATGTTTTCTATTGAAAATAAAGCTGGTATATTTTTCTCCTATTCCTTATATTCTTGTTCATCCTTTAGCTCTAGTTACAGTTTATTTTACTCCTTTCCTCTCACTGCCAGCCAGTAAACTAGCTAAATAAAAGGAATGAATATGGACTAGCATCTGTTGTTGTTTAAAACATTAAATCCCACGAACCTGGAGCACTTAAAGTAATCTGCTTTCCTTTCCTCCTCTCCTCCAGCTCTAAAGCATCCTGCCCTCCTCCTCAGTCCTCCTCTCCTCTCCACATTTCTCTCACTCTGTTGATAATTTGGCTTCTTCTTCACTCCTTTTCTATTTCTGCTTCGGTTCTCCCCCACCCCTTACATTAATCATTTCATCTTAGCACACTTCCTCTCCACATACACACACACACACAGCTTCCTACTTGTACGGGATGTGTTTGCTCCCATTGACCAGGGCCAGGATCACGTTCCCGAGGGCAGACAGAGAAAGACACAGCGAGGCCGAGGAGTTCTCCTTGTTTTTTCCTCCACCTTCGAGAGCCTTAACATCGCAGCTGCCCAGGTCCAGCAGGTGGAGACGACTGCGACCTCCTGACACTGGCAGATGCCGAAAATGAGTAAGCCACATAAAAAGTGTCAACAAAGAAGGTGAAATAAAAATGAAAAGGCGTTGGTAGAAATACTCAAACAGCAGAAACAAGTAAATGAGTAAACTAGATCCTTTAAAAAAAAAAAATCCTCAAACATGAAAACCAAAACTGTGATGAATGTGAGAGTTTTTATTAAATGTGTTTTAATAAGGTTCCTTCTCATCAGTGATCTATGACTAAAGCTCAGTGTGAGCTGAGGACAGGACAGTTTCTATAATTCATTTAACTCTAACCTGGCTTTATGAGTTGTTTTTAAGACTTGTGCTCCCTCTCTCTCTCTCTGTCTGTCTTGCCAGATGTGTAAAACTCAGTCACATACAAAGACTCAGGCACAATTGTTCAATCAGACTGTGAATTATTTTAGGCACTGAATAATATTTATGGATCATACAGCAATGCACTGTGGCTTCATTTGCATATTCACAGCACCTATGCTGATCTGTTTATTATTATGTCCCAGACTTATTCCTTCCTTTATTTGCCATAAAATAAAGCAGTATAGGTACTTACCTTGTTCGCCTGTGATTATCTGATACACAGTTTGATTTAGAGTGAGTTCATAAGATTTGATGTGAAAAAAAACGAGTAAATCTCACTGTGGCTGCTGACACAATGTCTGAATGGTGATAATGAAATAGGAAAATGTCACAGCGTTTGAGCAAAGAGGACTTACTCCCTCCTTTGCCCGTCTTCTCCATGCGATACTGGTATATGTGTAAGGTGAAGAGCATGTGGGAGTTCCTGTGTTCTTCCTCTGTGGTGCTGGGCCGCTGGCTGCTGTGGCGAGCTGCGATGGCCGCATCCAAAAACCAGGCCGCCTTTTCTGGAGTGGGAGCACGAAGTTCAGACTGGTTCTGGAGCTGGAAAACATGCAGAATCGAATAACACTGAGTGTCTGTGTTGTACGCAAAATACAGAGGCGGAAGTAAATGATCGGAGGACTTTTGAGTCTCACTCAGACTGTGGGTTAGGTTAACAATAATAATCCAGTGATGATTTAGCACATATCTGACTGATTGATGTGGTGTAACAAGATATCTGTCTGGAGGTGTAAGAGATATAAACTGTGTATGTGAGTGTGTGTGACGCTGCAGGATATCATTACTGATGAGATTATGTCAGATTAGTTTGGGATTACACAGATGTGTTTGTATCAGACCCTTTAATCCCATAAACATATAACTGCACACACATTGAGACCTGCTTATCCAACCCCGCTGCTCAGTTGTTTTTGGCCCGTTTCTACATAAAACTACTCGGATCACTGCAGTGTAAATAAATGAAAATAAATTATAATTAAAATGGTGATTATATTCCACTGAGACGTAAAAGCAGCCGTCTGAGGTCTGAGAGTGTTCTTTAACAATCATAGGGTATAATGTCATAAAAAAATTAATAAATTAAATAACCATTACATACATACACCACTGAATTAAGGTTTGTATTTTTTGTTGTTGTTGTTTTTTTTATGATTTGCTCAGCTGGAGTAAGACCAACAAGCAATATTTGAAATACTTATTGCTAAAAGCCATTCAGCTGCATACAAAACATGAAGTATGTAAAGTTGTTTCTTAAAGCATCTTTTTCAAATATTGCAATGGTTTGTTATCTGGGTGTCCAAATACTTCTTTAAAAAGTCTTCAGTTAATCCGAAATGTTGTTGCCAGAGTCTTAACTGGAGTTAGTGGGAGAGATCATATCTCTCCAGTTTTAGCTTCTCTCCACTGGCTCCCTGTCAAGTCCAGAACTGAATTCAAAATCTTACTTCTAACCTACAAAGCTCTCAACAACCTAGCTCCATCTTATATTTGAGATCTTGTTGTTCCATATTTTCCTAACAGAGCACTTCGCTCACAGACTGCAGGCTTACTCGTGGTCCCTAGAGTTTCCAAAAGCAGAATGGGAGGAAGATCTTTCAGTTATCAGGCTCCTCTCTTGTAGAACCAACTTCCAGATTCTGTCCACGAGGCTGACACATTGTCCAGTTTTAAGACTGGGATTAAGACTTTCCTTTTTGATAAATCCTATAGTTAGTGTTGGCTTGTTATGCTGCCATAGGCTTAGAATGTTGAGGACAAATTGACCTCATTTCCTTAAATAATTTGTTAAAATTGAATAGTTTTCATTTGATACTATTTCTATCTTAAAATGGGATTCTCAACCTGCCATTGTGTATCTGTTCCTCTCAAACCCAGCTGGTCGAAGCAGATGGACGCTTGTCCTGAGCCTGGTTCTGCTAAATGTTTCTTCCTCATGAGGGAGTTTTTCCTTTCCACTGTCACCTTCATACTTGCTCAAGATGAGAGTTTTGTGATGGCGTTAAGTTCAAAGCAGTCTGCTCCTCAGATAAACAGTGTTAATTTATTATTTTTATATATGGATGTTTCTGTTCAGTGCCCTGAGACGACTTCTGTTGTGACCTGGCGCTATATAAATAAACTGAATTGAAATTGAATTGAATTGAAAAAAACCACAAGGTGTCTTACAAAAACACAAATAAAAATATGTATAGCTAGAAAACTTACATTAAAATAACAGAGAGACAATAAAGATGGTTAAAAAGACAATAAAACATCAAAAATAAAAAATAATTTTGCTTGCTGTTTAAATAAATCAGCACTTTCAATTCAAAAAGTAAATCTAATTTCATAGTTAAGGTGCGACTACTTTAAATGAATGCTGCTCCCACAGTGGAGCCCCCCACATTGCCCCCCCCCCCCCCCCCCCCCCACAGTGGAGCTTCATATCAAGTCTGATGAACTACTAATCTCCTCTGGTTACATAAGCCAAAGGTTTGAGAAAAAGAAAAGAAAAAGGCTTTAACAGGTAAGAAATACTGAGGATCCAGACTGTGCAAAGTCCTAAAAGGTAACAGCAGCTTTTTATATTTTACAGATAAAGAGTTAAAGCAGAAGTAATGTACGACGCATTATTCACTTTTATCCTTTAAAGACTAGAGAAAACATACAGCTGGAGGCTGAAAAGACAAAGCAAACTGATGAAAGCCCTGAAGATCTCCATGCACACATCAGAAGAATATATCCCAGAGCTGCCACGGTACATAAATACCACTCTAAGCTGTGTTATGTTTAAGTGCATGTAGTATGTTGGTGTACCTGCATGCCACAGATAGGATCCTCACACAGATAGACTCCAGGTGACTGTCCATCCTGTAAGCTTCCTGTAGCCACTTCAGACAACAAATCCTTCAAGTTCTCCTCCTTTCCCCAAACCTGGACACAAAAATATGCAGATCAGAAGAAAAATGCATTTTTAAACCTTTATTTCAACAAACTGAGTAGATCATTTAATAATACAAGTTTTAAAAACTGATCTCGGACACCACGCTGTTACCACTGCAGGTGCTTTTTGGAGAAATAAATGGCCTTCACGAGCCATCTTGGTCAAATGTATCTGTAATGACTTTGAGGGCAGCTGAGGTTTCATCACTCACTTCAACAGCAGAGACACGGACAGAAAAGCGCGCTCCGGTTTTCTCCTTTCTTTCGTTGATGAGCTTAAACAACCAGGAGATGGCACAGGGGATAATACCCAGGGTCTGAAGAGAGTCATCATGACCAATCATTGTGTATGATTTTCCTGAAAGACAAAACAGAGAAGGATGAACAGAAAAAAATGAGCTCTATCAAAGAGAAATTTATAAATTCACACTCCCTGCGGGGGAAAATAATACTATACAAAAAAGGTGTGAGTGTGAAATGTCTGAGCTTCTATCTGCCCC